ATCTGGGGCACGGATATTGCTGGGGTGTCAGAGGGGTTTTGCTCAGGAGGCTTCAGGCAGGCTGCTGGAGCGCTCTGTGGGACTGGTTTGTGGCCGGTTTGGAGAGGTCACCAGTCTGGGGACTGTAAGGAGCCCCGAAGTTGAGCAATTCACCCTGAGCAGACGCCCTCAGCTGTGCCCAGACACGGCCCGGTCCGTCACAGAGGGGTGTGGGATATTTGTGTCGGTTGCACAGCTCCTTCAAGCCTGGATCCGCTTGCTCTGGGGACTGAGGAAATGTAGCAGGACCCATGCCAATGGCTCAGCCCCATGCAGACTGGCTCGTGGTTGCTCAGCTGAAGGACTCATCAATGGGATGTTCCACCCCTTTAGCGCAGGCTGGGGCTGTCTCTCCCCAAGACAACCCAGCTCAGGCTGTCTCTCCACCCCAAAGAGAAGCATCCTCTGACCTAGCCCCCCCAAGCATCAGAGCAAGCCCCAGCAGCTGCAGGCCTCTCTATTTGGGTCCCTGCCATCAGACCATCTTGGAACGCGCCGCGCCCGATTGGTTGACATGGCTGGCTCCTCCCCTGTTGCTCCAGCTGAGCATCAAAAAGCTTCCTAGGCCAATAAAGCTCTCAAAAGAGGGGTCCCTCCGCCTTTTAAAGAAACAGGGCACTAAGGGCGAGCCAGGCTAGCATCTCGCTGCACCGCGGATGAAGACCAGCACCGCCCCAAAGTGATGAGAAAGCTGGGTATGTCATGTTGGACACGGCTGAGCCGCTGTGGAAGGGGAGAGAAAAGCCACAAACTGAAGCCAATGGACTTCACTGAACCACTAAGCCACCCCTACAGAGACGGCGTTCGGAAGATCGGCGAGACAGCATCGCACGGGTGCATACGAGTCCCGAGCCAGGAGCCCAGAAGGGACGGCTGCTTCTCCTGCCACCTACACACCATCCCCGCCACATGGGCTCCGACAGCCTGGCAGTGTCACTTAAATGTCATGCTCGCCGTTCTGCCGCTCCGCACCCTGCTACCTCCCCATCAGTTCTCATCCACTCAGCCGGCTTGGGGCTGCTCAGAACGCAGATGGCAGATCTCCGAGACGACGCCATGTGCTAAAGGGAGCAGCACTGGCAATTCGTTACATGACACTCTCCTTCTGTGGGGCCAGCTTTGGGAGGAGCCTTGAAAGTTAGAAATCTTGACCTGCACCCAATGATCATTAGCCTCAGAGGGGCAGCCATGTTAGTCAGTAACTTTAAAAACAACATGTAGTCCTGTGGCACCTTAGGGTCTGTCTACACTAGCCCCCTAATTCGAACTAGGGAGGCTAATGTAGGCATTCGAAGTTGCAAATGAAGCCCGGGATTTAAATATCCCGGACTTCATTTGCATCTTCCCAGGCGCTGCCATTTTTAAATGTCCCTTAGTCCGAACTCCGTGCCCGCGGCTACACACGGCATGGAGTAGGTAGTTTGAATGAGGATCTCTTGTGGAACGAGGTTAGAGATCCTAATTCGAACTACCTACTCCATGCTGCATGTAGCCGCGGGCACGGAGTTCAGACTAAGGGACATTTAAAAATGGCAGCGCCTGGGAAGATGCAAATGAAGTCCGGGATATTTAAATCCCGGGCTTCATTTGCAACTTCGAATGCCTACATTAGCCTCCCTAGTTCGAACTAGGGGGCTAGTGTAGACATACTATATATAATTTTTTGTTAGTCTCTAAGGGTATCACGAGCCTTTGTGGATGAAACCTACTTCTTGAGATGATTTTGATTGATGATGACCTATATATATATATAATTTGTTGTTAGTCTCTGTGGTGTCACAGGTCTACGCATTGTTTCCAATGATCATTAAAAATCTTACAACACTTAATCCTGGAGTCCCAACCCAACTGAACTGGTAAAGTCCATTCTAACTCTTTCAACTCTCACTGCAGTTTCAACTGAATACAGCACTTCACTCTTCCCCCTGAGCCATCCAGTTCTACCCCAGAAGCAGCTGCAGTTCAGTGGTAGCCGACACAGTTACTGTATAGTTTGAGCACGCTGGCATTGTATAGACCAGACGTGGCACCACAACCCCCTGCCCCAGCTCGCAATCCAATGTTTCACCCAAACTGGGGCAGGGTCAAGGTGGGCGTATGGATGCAGAAGAGGATTCTGGCCTGGGGGAGGAGTGTAGGAGGGGATACAGGGTCTGGGAGGGAGTTACAACCTGGGTGAAGGGATGCAGAGGGTTTGGATAGTGACCTGGCACAGGAGAGAATGGTGACATAGGGCAGGGAGCTGCAGGTAGGGTAGGGGTGGGGTGCCAGAGGTAGGCTCGGGCCAGGAGGTACCTTACCTAGGTGGTTCCCAGCCAGCAGCCCTTGAGGATCCCTGGCTGGCTTCCTGCCTGCCATAATCCCAGGCTGCTCAAAACAGCTGACTGTTCCCTGTAGCTCTGCTCCAGGCACCCAGGGGTGGGAGAAGAGGTTTTGCATGCTGCCCCCACCCTCGGTAGAATCTATCAGCTCCTATTGGCCATTTTCTGGCTGTGGGAGCAGTGTGCAAAATCTCCCTCTTCCTGCTGGTGCCCACAGCAGAGAGCCACAGGGAGCAGCCAGCTGCTTAAAGTGATAGGGGCTGCTCTGTGCCTGAGGGTCTCCGTGGGCCAGATCTGATGGCTTAGTGGGCTGGATTCGGTCTGCCGGCCACATCTTGCCCATCCCGATCTAGCCCAATATCCTGTATACTGAGAGTAGCCAGTGCCAGGTGCCTCAGAGGGAATGAACAGCACAGAAGAGATCCATTCTCAGTTTCTGGCAAACAGAGGCTAGGGACACCGTCCCTGCCCATGCTGGCTAAGCCACAGATGAACCTATGCCTGGAAAGCAGGGATGGTGATGACTATCAATTGAACATGAGCTGCTCATGTGACACTGCCATCAAAAGGATACTAGGATGCATGACCAGGGGGATCACTAGGAAGGGCGGACTGGTGCATCTGCTGCACTAACCCTGTGCCCAGTTCTGGTGCCCACAATTCAAGGTGGACGTTGAGACACAGGAGAAGGTTTGGGGAAGAGCCACAAGAAAGATTACAAGGTTAGATAAGCCGTGATAGACTCAAAAAGCTCCATGTGTCTAGGTAACAAACACATTTGGGATGACTTGACCACAGCCTATAACAGGGCTGGGCAAAATATGCTCCAGGGGCCAGATCCAGCCCATGAACCACCGGATCTGACCCCTGGAACACCCTGGCACACAGCTGCCATGGATTTAAAGCACAGTCCGGCTCTCTGCTCTGGAGGGAGGAGGAAACTTCATGTGATCTCCCCGCCCCCAGCCCAATCCTCAGCTCCTATTAGCCAGAAAGAGCCAGCCAATAGGAATTGACCCCAGCTAATCTCTCAACTCCTATTGACTAGAAACAACCAGTCAATAGGAGCTGAGAGATGGACATGGGGCAGCACAAGCCTTTTCCCCCTCCCCAAACTGAGAGGTGCGTGGAGGGAACAGCCTGCAGCTCAAAGTGATCTGGGGCTGCAGGAGGCAGCCTCTGTCTTCACAGACAAGGTCAGCTCCCAGACTACTGCACTAGGCAATGCAGTGTGGGAAGGAAGTGGATCTGGGGTTTACAGTGGATAAGAAGCTGGATACGAGTCAGCTCTGTGCCCTTGTATCCAAGGCAGCTAATGGCATATTAGGGTGCGTTAGGAGGAACATTGCCAGTAGATCTAGAGAAGTGTTTATTCCCCTTTATTCAGCACTGGGGAGGCCATAATTGGAGTAGTGTGTCCAATTCTGGGGACCCCACTACAGAAAGGATATGAACACAATTAAGAAGGTCCAGTGGAAGGTGACCAAAATGGTTAGGGGGCTGGAGCACATGACCTATGAGGAGAGGCTGAGGGATTTTGGTTTATTTAGTCTGCAGAAGAGTGAGGGGGGATTTGAGAGCAGCCTTCAACTTCCTGAAGGGAGGTTCCAAAGAGGATGGAGGGAGACTGTTCCCAGTAGTGACAGATGGCAGAACAAGGAGCAATGGCGTCAAGTTGCGGTGGGAGAGGTCCAGGTTGGATATTAGGAAAAACTATTTCCCTAGGAGGATGGTGAAGCACTGGGATGGGTTACCTAGGGAAGTAGTGGAGTCTCCATCCCTAAAGGTTTTTAAGTTTCAGCTTGACGAAGCCCTGGCCGGGTTGATCCTGCTTTGGGCAGGGGGCTGGACTCGATGACTCCTGAGGTCTCTTCCAGCCCTAGGATTCTATACCTTGGAGGTCCTGGCCAGGAGATGCTTAGGTAAGCATCTCCCAGCTACACCCTGCCTCTGGCACCCTTGCCCCTCCCGCACCCTAACTCCCTCCCCTAGGTCACCATCCAAACTCTCTGCACCCCCCTACCCCAAGTCACAACTCCCTCCCAGACCCTGTACCCCCTCCCACATTCCTCCCCCAGGCCAGAATCCTCTCCTGCACCCAAACACCCTCGCAGACCCAGCACCCCAACCCCCTGCCCCAGATCACAACCCCCTCCTCCACTCAAACTCCCTCTCAGACCTCACACCGTCCCCTGCACTCCAGTCCCTAACCATGTGTGCCGTTCTGGACCCAGCCTCCATCCTAGACCCCGCACTTCCTCCACCAAAAAGCACGGCCCTTGATCACATTCCAAAATCTTCAAGTGGCCCCCCACCCAAAATTATTGCCCACCCCTGGCCGATAAGAACCTACGTGGGGAAACTGGAAACGAGGTGGACATTTTTAACGGTGACGGTAACCAACCATTGGAACAATTTATCAGTGGCAATTTGAACATCAAGATGGGATGTTTTTCTAAAATAGCTGCTCTCCTTGGAACGGGGAAATCCTGTGGCCCACATTATGGAGGAAGCCAGACTAGACGATCACTGAGGTCCCTTCCAAGCTATGAATCGCCACACAATTACATCCGGGCAATAGGAATGCTGGTGGCCAAGTGAAGCTACAGCTCCCCAAGTGGAGCAGACGCATGGTGTTACCTGTACAGATTTCTTCGTATGTGGGGTTCGGGGTGAAGCCTCCTGCATAGCCCACCTGGGTGGAGAAGACCCCTGTCAACTTCCAGAACATCTTCTCGGCACCCCAAAAACATCCCATGCCTGGAGAGAAAAGGAGACAGAAGATGAATTCAATGCAAAGGGCTTCATCTGAAACCAGGGAGCAGCAGTTTGTCCTCAGGCCAGTCCTTCTAGGATACAGCCTGCTTTGGGGCAGTCGTTTTCCTGCTCGCCAGCCCACCCATCTGCAACACCTGTGGACTTCAAGGAGTGGACCACGCCCAAGCCACAGGGCCAGGTTTGGTCCCTAGCTCAGCATGTGGAGCGGAGCTGGTTGGACACCAAATGAGACCACACCTCACCTACCACATCTTCCCCCACACCTCAGCGATTCATCCATATGGCCCATTCTGGTCACAGTGGCCAGGTACAGTTCTGGGCCCCGCTTGAAACAGGAGGAGCGGGGGGCAGCCAGAGCTCGCACCCAACCAAGGCCCCACTGCCAACTTAGAGACGAGAGAGAGAATGATCCACAAACCGAAAATGGCCATCTGCATGCCCTCCGGAAAGGGTGGAAGCACTGTGTTCCCGCTGACGGCATGTGTGGCTGCAGAAGGAAAGAGAGACACAAATAAGTCCCTTTGCCAAGTCTTCAATAGTCACAGTCCCTAGTTCTTATCTGCCCTCCATCAGATGATCTCAAAGCACTTTACCAAAGGAGGTCGGTATTTCTGCCTGCCTTTTACAGAGGGGGAAACTGAGGCACGGGACGGCAAAGTGACGTGCCCAAGGTCAATCTTGCAGGCCAGTGGAAGAGCCAGGAATTGAACCCAGAAGTCCCAGTGCAGTGCCTTATCCCCATCAAGTTATTGAAAACTAGCTCTGAAAGCTTTAGCTGCCTGCCAGAGAGGGGCACAAGGAATCCCAAGAGTCATTCCTGTCCCAGACCAGCAAAGGCCTGGTCCAGATGCATCCACCTCATGGATTGTGCTGCATCAGGGGTTTTCCAGCATCTCCCACTGGTCTTGTGCTCCACTTGCTACCCCCCGCGGGCACGCAGGCAGCCTGGCTCCTCCTACATTTAAACTGCAGAGGCGCAGCGAGGGTGGGTCCTACGGAGCCGAGTGGCTCTTACTACGTTGCAAATGCAAAGCCGCAGCAGTCCTGCACCGAGCCAGGCTTGCTCAGTCCTGGCTCGCGCCGGGTCCAGCAGCTCCTGTCTGTGGCCAGCGCAGATGCAGCCAGCCTAGGCCTGCTGTGTGCAGAGGCTGCTTTGTGGCCTCCCCTACCCCCACTCCCTCTGACAGAGGCAGCCCGGGGGGCGGAGGAAGTGGGAAGCAGGCAGCACTGGGGAGATGATGCTGGGGAGAAATAGCTTTTAAGCCTGCTTGCCCCCCCGCCCCCCACTGCCTCTGATACAGAGGAGAGGGGAGGGGGAGGAGTGAGTAGTCAACTAATCAACTACTCTTTTACATCCCTAGCCAGGAGTGTAAGCTCTTTGGGGCAGGGGCCATGGCTCTACATGCTGCCCCAGTCCCGCTTGCTGGATGGCAGATCTGCTCCACCGGGAAACCTCAGCCTACTTCTGCGCCTGGCTGTCAGGCAGGGCCCGCAATTCCCTGACTCCTCCGCCTTTCCCCAGGCTCCACAAAGTCACGGAACTCTCCCTCCTCCGGGCTCCCACGTAGAGCCCTCAGCAGCTCCGCTGGCCCGAGAGCTGGGAGCCACGTCTGTGCCAGTGACCGCACCACACATGCTGCCTGCTTCGCACGCAGGCCAGGCCCCAGCAGCAGCGTGTCTTGGCTGTCACCTGGGCTCCACTTCACACCCCAGCAGGCTATCAGGCGACGGGAAACCCGTCCCTCAAGCCCCACGGAGAAGGCCCAAGGGGCACTCAAGATCTGGGCAGCCCCATCCTGATTCTCTGCAGCACAGGGGTGCATTTCACCTTCAGCACCCAGCCTAAGGCTGGTGCCTTGAAACGATCCCAAGAGCGCACAGACCCGGAGCCCTTCAGTCACCGAAAGCCTGGAGTTCTGGGCTGAAACAGCCGGCGGAGCCCTGGGGAGGGAAGTCAGAGGCTGGAGACTCCTGAGGCTAGTTAATCCCACCAAGGACTCCGGGTCCCCAGCCTTTTGTCCTGTCCATCTTGCCTCACTGACCAGTGTATGGAAAGGGCGTAGCCTAGCCCACCTGCTGGATCCCTGGCCAGGACTTCCAGAGACCCTGCATGGGGCCCACCCAGGCTGCATTAACCAAGAGCCAGAGAGAACCAGCGGGTCTGAGCCCAGTAGCCTCAGTAAGGAATCCTCTTTCGAGCCCTGGCTGCTGGGGCAGCCCCACCAGACACATGAGCAGCTGGGGAAGGGTCTGAGTTCCTGGGCATGGCGGGGGCGAGGGAGTCAAAGAGTATTGTAGGAACCACCAGCCTGGAAGGTTCCCCATGGTCCTAGAATCCAGTCCCCGCTGGGGCAGGTCACTCCACCATCAATCCAGGCCCATCTATCTTCAAACTAGCCGGGATATTTGCCCAGATGCTGCCACGCAGCCCAGCAGCCGCCCGGCCCCAACTGCTGGCTGATCCCCAGCCCAGGAGCTGCTGTCGCAAGCCACCCTGTGACGGGGGATTAGGCTGCCTGGCCCCAATCTGCTCCTTTGTCTCTTCCCCAGGTCTCTATTTTAAGCCTTTGTATCTTCCCGGGGGCCTCATGCTCACTGAGAAGCCAGGACAGCTTGTGCAGAAAGCACTTCCCCCAGCTCCTCAACAGATGGGAGGCTCTGTTGAGAGCCGGCCTGGGAGAGATCAGCTGAGCCTCACAGCTTGGGTGGGTGGGGGAGGCGGCGCACAGCCTGGCAGATTAGCACAGCTCAGCTCGTGCTCTCTACATGGGTACGTGAGCCGTGAGTCCTCGTGGCACGCAGGAAATCGCCATCCTGAATGGCCTCACGTGTCTCCGTTTTCATGGAGGGGCTGCTTCCCCGGAGAGGAGAGCAGGGGAGAAGGGTCTGTCTGCGGGGCTGCCTGAGGAGGCAGAACTGGTCCCTCTTGGGAGCAGGCTGCCGGATGCTCGCTTTGATTGGACACAAGGAGCGGAGAAGGGAGAGAAGGACAGAGCTGCCTGGCACTAGATGGGGCCAGTGTGGGCAGGCCCCATGCAGACTTCCCCCACACACCTCTCTCCCACCCCACAGCCCCACCATTCCAGTCCTGGCGCCCTCCCCGAGTTCTGCCACCGCCCCTATGCCCAGCCTGTAGCCCCTGGTTATTCCAGTCCTGACCCACCACTTCCCCACTTTATAGACTAACAAAACGTGTAGATGGTATCGTGAGCTTTCGAGGGCACAGCCCACTTCTTCAGATGACGGGAGTTATGAGTTGGGGACGTGTACACTTTTGAAGTGTCCCAGAACTTTTGGGTGCCTGCCAGAAGAGAACTGGGCTGAATTTCCCACCACGTGCCAAGCTGGTTACAGCTGGTGGGAGCAGCTGGTGCTCGGAAATCAGGCCCATGGAGTCGCATGTTTGGTACCCAGAATTAAGGGACACTTCTGGAGAGGCTGGCCCAGGGGACTCGCCCTCGGTCAGACAGCAAGTTAGGACCAGAGCACGATCCGGAGATGCCTGCCTCCCAGGGCAGCGCATTACTGGGTGTAAGGGAGGGTGGCTAGGCCTGAAGGCAAGGGTTGAAAGGAGACCTTTGCCTTAAAAGGCCTGCAGGCTCCTCCTTCCAAGGCCTCCTGGTTCCTAGCGGCTACACAGCCAATTCCGCAGGACGGGGAGACCACTTCCAGCACTTGCTGGCACCAGACACCGCCTCAGCCTGCATGCGCTTAGCCTCGCATGTTCTCCTGACAGAGACTTTCAGACAGGACCTGGGATCCGCGGGTCTAAGGATCCTCCCCGCTCCCTGCTGCCCAGCTTCTGTGAGGTGTTACTACGGTGCAGCACGAGCCGGCCCTGGCACGGAGTCCCACCCCAAGGGAATAGCCCCATCCCATCCTCAGCCTCCACCGCCGCAGAGCTTGGGCCTCCTGGGGCCGCGTTCACCAGCTCGCTCTGCAGCCGCCTACAGGGACACCGAATGGGCGGACGGGTGCAGCGTCGAGAGAGGAACGGCCCAGTGGGGCCGTACGGGACCAACTCCACAGGGGCCTCCCGCACCGTCCCCCCACCCCCTCACCGTGCGTCACCGCTGCCAGGACAGCAGAGGCTCCCAGACTTCAGAGCCTGGGCAATGCCAGGGCAAGGGCCACGGGAGCTTCGGTGCAGGGGGTGTAGCCATCTCCCATTGCACGAGAACGCACCCTCCAAAACTAAGGAAGAACCTGACCTCTCGCAGCCCAGCCCCTTACAAGGAGGCCCCGGCCCCAGCCCCCACCCCGGGCCCCAGCTCCCCCGATCACATACCCAGACTGGAGCCATTTTATTCTGCTTCCAAAACACAGAGCTGCAGCGAAGCTTGTGTCTTGTCCCGATTTTCCTAGCTGCCCTGGGTTACCTGCTAAAGGCTCCAGCGAGTTCGGAGCCAGATGTGACTAGACTGGAGAGACTTGGGAGGCCGGGGAGGGGAACGGACACAAAAGCTCAGAATTGGGCTCCGGTGTGCGAGGCGTTTTGCTGGCAGCGCAGCCGGCCGGCTTGGCAGCTCACAGACGATTCCTTCCCTGGCTCCGGCTCTCCCCCCTTTTCTGAGGAGGATGGGCAGGCGATGTAATTTCCTTGGCCCAAATTCAATTCCATCAGCGCAGGAGTCCGCCGCGCTCCCCAAACACCACTCCCGGCTCCGCGGAAAAAAACCGCACACGCACACACATACACACACGCACGCAACCATCAACAGCCACCAACAATAGGCGGGAAGGCAAGATGTTTGTAGCATCCCCTTCCCCCACAAAAGACTTACTTTATTTTTTGGGGGGGGCTTAACCTCCTCCTACCGTCAACCTCTCCTCCTCCTGCTTTCATTCCCCTCCCCATTGCACTGTGCCCCCGAGCACCATGCCACCCCAGCCTTCCCTGGCACTGCTGCCAAGCAACCTTGGCATCCCTCCAGCTGGTGCCAGCTTTATTCTCTCTCTCTCCCTCTGTCTCATGCCTTCCTTGCCAACCTCCATCCCAACTCCTAGCGTCTCTGTCCCCCAGCCCCCTCCCACCACCACCCCCCGGCTTTGCAGATCCAGGGAGTGAGCCAACAAAGTAGGAAGAATCAAAAATTCCCAGCAACTAGTTTACTTAAAAAGAGAAAGAGAAGAGAGAAAAAAGCAGCAGTTCACCAACCTCTGAGTGCAAGCCTCCCCCCACCGCGCAGGCCAATGCCCGTCTGACCCCTCCGAGATGCCCGCCTTGCTCCCACCACCACCCCCCGGCTTTGCAGATCCAGGGAGTGAGCCAACAAAGTAGGAAGAATCAAAAATTCCCAGCAACTAGTTTACTTAAAAAGAGAAAGAGAAGAGAGAAAAAAGCAGCAGTTCACCAACCTCTGAGTGCAAGCCTCCCCCCACCGCGCAGGCCAATGCCCGTCTGACCCCTCCGAGATGCCCGCCTTGTGATGGCACCAGCCTGCTGAGGTGCAGAGCATCATGGGACAGGGAGAGGGGAGGAAAAAA